ATAATCTGCAATTTACATTGTCTGTGTACTTTGACACCAGGTTATCAGTGGAGGGCCAAATTCTCCAACAATTTGCTGTGAAGGTACTGGTAATTGATGCCTGGTTAATGACAAAGTTGGTGCTTGAAGTTACCTGAACAGATTCCTTGCATTATATTCAATACAGTTACAGTATAAAGGTGCAATTCTAAATAGCAAGGATGAATACAAATCATTGTCATTGAAATCTAAGAACTTTTGCAATATTCAGATGTATGTCTAAGATGTATGTCTAAGAGATAAAGGGCAAGACAAATTAATCAATAGAATACTTTGCTGTTACGTTTAATAAGCACATAGTTAAAAACAAACAATGGAGAGCTCAATTATGCACTTGTCGTTCTTGGGTGCACTAGGCATTAAGTCGGAATTAACTGATAGTAGGCAACATGTTATGATAAAGATTACATGTTATTGCAAAACAGTTACAAGTGCAATCAGTAAGGAGAAGATCAAACAACAATAATATCACTATAGCTGCAACACCCAAAGTGATATTCTTGCAATGGGTGATGAGAGCCCAAATGCAAACAGCAATTCTCCAAATGAATTTCAGTCTTAATTGCTGTGTCATCTACTAGTTGAAGCACATCAATCACTGTAGTATATTCCTTCTCTTGTGCCTCTGATAAGATGGTGTGAACTTGCTGCCCTTTCCCATCAATTCCTTCCATTATCTTCCCAACAATGACAGGTACCCGTTTAAAGTTTCACGTCTGCATTCAGCATGAGTTTGCAAAGATAAAAACGGGGACCCCAGGATCACATATTCATTTGTTTGTAATTGGGCATCCAAAAAAAGATGATGGAAATATTGGGCTGAGTTCTTGTGCCGAGCCTTGGCAACACTGCCCACGTATGTTTGCACAGTACAGAGCTCTACAGTCAATGTGTTATTATTATTATCCCTCTATCTGAATAGCCGCACGCTCAACTTGATTTAGGAGTTTTTGTGTCAACAAAAGCCTACCTTATGTATGGCTGTATTGATCATAATCTGTATTTGATTATTCTTGCATGACCCATTTTCAACTACATGCATTTCAATCCCCTCTCTTTTTCCCCGTTCTGTCAGTTACACAAAACTTAAGTAAGGGTTTGATTGATTCACAGACGCAAACTTTCCAAAAGATCCATCAGGATGCATGCAATTTTGATTAAACTCATTTCAAATTTTCTTGTCATAATTGTTTGACAAAGTACTGTATTCCACAAGGGAAAAACCTATTGCCTGAAGAAGCATTTTGCCGACCTTAAAGCTTTCACAATGGGGTGCATATTTGAAATCTACGTAGGAGAGCTTTTGACAAACTTTGTACAATACACGTTTGATGGCCTCAAAGCATACAATGTACATAAGCCTCAGGTTTTCCTGCAACACTAACCTGTGCTAGCTTGTCATATATTTGTACATATGTGGGAATCATCAAGCCTGGTTACCAACCATCACGAGTTTCCAAAGCCAGCGTGCTCTATTCTTATCATACAGGAATATTTGCACAAAGTATTGCTCAAATGATTCAAAGTGAAGGGAAATTTGTTAAAATGCCAAATGCCACATTTACCTTGCTTCGCTGGCTGGATATCATTTGACAGTGTCAGGAAGTGTCAGGATCCAATATCTCTCAAGTGGAGCCACTGACTTTGTGGTTTGAGGGGGGTTAACGAAGACTAAAATCCCAAAACTGTAGATAACTTTAAAAGATTTTTACTATTAAAGATTAGGCTAATTAATAAAGGTGCTAGAACTATTTTAAATTGTTGTATGGCAAAATTATCACCATGCAATAGTACAAAGTAAATTATACCATGCAGTCTTATAACTCCACTGTATAGCTACACACAAGAACTGACTTTGAATTGCATTACATTTACAAATGTCATCAGCACATTCATGAGTCATAACCTGCACATCGTGATTTGACATTTGATAGGGCATGTATGATGTAGTGATATTGTAAGTACGAGATGACCCCTCTCACCCTTATAGCTTATAGTCTCACACAAATGAATAAAGGCACAAACTGAACCAAAGACAGACCACCATACTACCCTGTGACAAATTTCCAAACATTTTTAGCAGGTTTAGATCGAGTTGCCCCTTTGAAAATGGAGCCGCTACAAACTACTATAAAGCAATTTCTCCAGTTGAGATTCTACTGAGCCAGGACAAATTGACCCGCCTCCTGGAAAGTGGGTCAGCATGACAACTAGAAGACGTGGTATCAGATGCCTGACAAGCCAAATAGCTCCTCAGGTCACAAGTCTGAAACAAACAGCTTTTATCTCTGATAACAACCCAGCTTGTAACACAGACCTCACAGGCAAGAGAGTTGCAGCCGGAGTGAGTTATTATACTCACAGAGAATGAGTGGGAGAAATTATATATAAGTGACCAAGATCTTGCAAGATAAACCTTATTTTTTCGTCTATGTTGCCCAACCACAAGGACCTGATGTATTAAAGTCTTGCAGCTGCATCTTCTGTATTCACCGACAATGCACTTTTAAAACATGTGAAACTGAAAGTGAAATTAGTTTACTTGGAGTTGCGCAATTTCTTTTAAGACTGATTGATTTATTTTGTAACAAATTCTTTTTAAAAAGGTATTTGCAGGACCACCCATCAAGTCAAAAAGTTTTTGGCAAGCGTTAATGAATGCACTCTTTGCCCCGCTTCCTAAAACTAGTGATTCCTCAACTGTGTTGGGTATGGTGTAAGATTACTAACAAGGACAGTACTTAAATTCAAGTTGATGTGCAAGTAGCTTGCACTTCCAGTTTGCTGTTCTTGGAAGTCTTGGGCTGATGATGTATGGCTTCTTCCAGGTCTCGTGATTGATCTACATAAATATACCTCATCACCATCATCAGCTCTGCCTATGCCTCATTCTTCAGCTAGCTTTTTACTCACCAGGATTTACTCCCCATTTTCTGGGTCAAGTTGGCCCTCTCTGGCACCCAGCACTGATTGATGTTTTGTCTCCCCGATTCAGGTCACCAGTTGTGCTCTTCTTGACAACCAAGATGGCCACCGACCCTTAACCAATCAGGATCCAGTATCCCCCCTTTGGTTCCGGGCATTGATTGTTTGCATTTGGGGTTCCTTTGTGCAGTTTGGGTTTATCAACTTTCTCTCTTTCATACCCTGCTTGTATACTGCAGTCTCGACCTTGTTTTGATAAGATGTGGGAGCATGGTTTGGGACACTGCCAACAAATTGAATTGGCAAAACAAACTCAAGGGCAAGTATATTATGCTTGAACATCAAAACATTTTGAAAACATCAAGAACTTTGTGTTGTTATGAAGGAAAGTAGGAAACTAAAACCAAATTCAAGACTGAAGCAAAGTGAATTACAGTTCTCCATAATTTGAAAATGATGTATACTTTTGGAACTTTTTTTTTCAGAAGTTATTTCTGGTAATGGCGGGGCAGTTCTCTAGTTTGGTATCTTTATTTTCAGATTTATTATCACTGTGAGTAGGTATCAACCCCCTCTCCATGTGATCAGCCCCACATATGTTTTCCAGGTTCCGGCAAATTTTATGCGTGGGTCTACATACAGGCATTTCCAGACATTTAAATAAACATTCATAACAAATGCCAGCACTGTGCATGTTCATAAGCATTCTATAATGACTGAGCAGGTTCTTGTTGCTTGAGGGAGTCTATTCTTCAGGTATAATAATGGTTTGATCAGAATGTTTGGCCGTACCGGAGAAATTATTTTTCTAGCACCGCTATTTTGTCAGAATTGTGCACTTGTTTGTTTTTTCCCATGACCAAAATGCAGGCACACATTCCTCCAAATATAACTCAGGTCCTGCATGAATGATATTGTCCTCCATCAAATTCTTAAATTGAAGTCTACTAAAACTACCTCTAACTGGTTGACATTGGGATGTGGTGGATGGAGCTGTGTTATGTTTCCAAATGTGATAATGTAATAATGCTTGGCAAGACCAAATTTCTGTTTCATTTAAACGGCCTTTTACATTCAAGATTGTGAACCTACTCAAGTTTTTATATCCTTTTACAATGACCTGTAAATTTGCGAAAGCATCGGCTGTCTTTGAAGTTTGAACCGTCGTCTCTTACAAAAGATCCAAACAGAAGAGGCATGCTTTAAAAAAAAATGACATTGTTAATTCCCAGCAACCAGTTTGTGGCAAACACAGTTGTCATTATTTTGGTTCCAGTTGTGTTTGCTTGTGAATTTTACTGCCATACATGTACAAGTCATGGTACTATAAAGAATCAAATCCGTTACATGATAACAGTAGCATCTGTATTTGCTAACCGAATCATTGATGATTGATGACTGTATTTGTATGTGTTTGCTATGCCATGCTGATCAAGCGTTTCATTTGTGCTCTCTGAGTTTACACACATGCATGCGTGAGCAGGCCTAGCATTTGTGGGTAATGATTTCCTGGAGCAGGTCTATTTTAGATATGTTGCAAAAGAGAAGTTCTTTGCAATTGCTTGCTGGCAAAAGATACTAACATAGATTTTTGCCCCCCCCCCCCAAAAAAAAGAGTGTGCCCCACAAGAATCATATAATGTGCCAACAACAAGCACCAGTTTCATTTTGCAAATACGGTCTTCTGTACTATATTCCATTTTCCAAATTTGGAAGAAAATGGGGATTTGTATTGGAGCTGCTTTATAAGCTTTGGAATTTCTCAAGACTTATTATATCCCAAAACTGTCAAAAGTAGATGTGGTATGTTGGGCGATAGGGCAATATGCCAACCTATTAATGCATACTTTATTCACATTTTTTGATGGACAGACTATAGGAGCCATAAATTATTTTAAAGGTATTCCCAGTGTATATTATAAAGTCAAATCATTTAACATTTGAGGCTAATGTCATTAATTCCATAAACATGTAGTGTAACATTAAGAAAACATTTGGATGGGGCATTTAAAACAAAACTGACAGTCATCCACATATTTAATTTACATTTTTGAGTTGTCACAAGTTTATTGTACACATTTTGGCGGGTTTCATCTTCATTAAAGAAAATTATATAGTGTGTGATTAGTTTTTTCAGAAATGTAAAAAGTTAAGAGTTTTGGACATTATGAGTACTTAAAATGATGGTAAAAATATATGTTTATTTACATTAAATTAGTATATTACAATTTACACGTCCCGTATAAAAGGGGAAGCTGGTCTATCTGTTGAAAAAGTATACAAAAGACAGCAAAAATACTTTTACAAAAATATACACTTAAAATGTACAAAAGATCACAACAATTTTTGAAACATTGAAAAATGGTTTCAACTCCAAGAAATTGTAATCTTGATGTATGCTTTGAAACAAGTCTTTTCCTTCTAAGATCTTGATGCAAACAATAACATCTCAATCATTACTTCAAATTATCCTAAGTAAGGGACCGTCTTGCATAATTAACTTTTACTTCAAGCAGGTATTTCATTCTGTGGTTTTGCCATCTTGTTAATCGTCTTTCCAAGACATAATGATTCACCAAAAAGATTAAAATTGTGTTTTATTTCTCGGATTGAATTTGACCTTCATAATTCACATTTATGTCAAATCACATCATGTTATGAAAAGGTCTGTTTGTGATGTGCTTGTTTTAATATTAAATAGCTCTCGATTCAAGGCATGACAATAACTTGAATGTTATCAATTGTCCATTCATGTCACAGAAGGAAAAAAAAAAAAACTTTCAGCAAATGTGAGAATAAATTTGAAAGAGCATGGAAAAGTTTGAACAAGAAGTATCTGGCACCCAGCATTAAGAAAGACAATACCCTTGTCAATGACAAATCAGTTCAAGACACAGTGTGCATTTTAAAGAAAGACTATAATTATAAATATCATTACAGAATTAATCAGTACATGATATCAAAGATATCAGTTGTCATTTCTCAGATTATATTAATCACAAACACTATCTAAAGAAGAGCCTATGAGATTACTGATACAATTAAGCACAAGTATAAATCGGAAGTAACCTTCATCAGGTCGCTGTCAGAGGCATACTTGTTTGTTTTTTGTTACTACTCCAGCGACTAAGAGCAGAGGTCATTATAAATATTTATAGAATTGCACAGCAGTACTGCATTTACAAGAAGATTAGAATCCGATTTTCCCATGGCAACACATGGAAGTCAAGTGTCCCAATCCCAAGAAAAGTCCAACATCAAGTAGTTAGGTGATGATTCACTTGAACAAAAGTTAGAGTCCAAGCAATTCCTTCAGCCTGTCTACTTGTGCAGTTGTCATGCAAAAGTTAACACCAAAGTAACAAACAGAAAGCTGCCCAAAAGATACATTTGCTGGAAGTCCAATGATTAAAATTTGTTTTACCAAAAACAATTCATATTCTGGAAGTCCTTAACGACAGGAACATTATCTGTATGCCTATGGGAGGCATACAAGTACAACATATTGCCCAATACTGAGCCTGTCAGTAAACAAATGCATGCAAGACTGCCCCTTTTCTATTGGCATTGAAAGACGCCATTGTGCAGGCACAGACAAGAGGTGGATTTATTGGTGAAAGGTTATTGTACTATAGTCCTGATTGACAAAACCCACCAACTGGCATTAACACATTGAATTTGACAGACATAAAAAAATCCATTTATCCTGGTGACTGAAGTCCAATGATAGAGTAGTTTAGATGCATTTGACGTTTAATGATTAGCATTACGTATTGTCCTTATATCTTCTTATCTCAGGAAGTCATCATGATTAGACTGATAGACTTTGTCTTTGTATTTACAATGATTGGTGTTCGTGTTTGAAGATGGATAACATCCTTCTTATTATCTTAATACCCAGCTTCATTCATGTTCTATGAATTTCAAGTGCATAAATTGAAATGGCAAAATTTAAATGAAAAATGAGTTACCATCTCTAACTTCTTATTTTGACCAAATAGTGGAATGTTAGAAACAGCAATGCCCAGAGATCAGTGTGATTGAAATTTGTTTTCAATTTCACAATTTCTGATTGTCATTCTAGTAATTTACGAGTTGCTCTGTGAGTCTTTGTACAGTATATTTACAGTTTTACTTACAATACTCTTTCACAAAATGCAATTTGGTGCCCTTTGGTACATTTTGCTGCATGTCTTTTAGTGTACAAATTTGTTAACATTTTTCAGCTTTCTTTAAAGTGTCTTAAATTGGTATTTTAAAATGCAGCATTTCTGCCTGGTGCTTTTAATGAATTATGTACATTTTTTTCACTCAAATGTCACACACTTTAATTTAACTTATTCCCCAATGGTTCACACATCAACATCTTTATACAGCAGCAAACAGAATCAGATTTTCTTTCAGTACATAATTAACCATGGGACTGGTTTATAAGAACAAAGTCTCAATAATATTCCAGTGATCACTTGTTGGATGGTTGTCAACAATTTGTGACTGTTAATGCACTTTTACACAATCAATTTCTGAAAAACATTTTAACGCCAATGCCAGAAAAGTATAAATTCAAAAATACTGAACAAAATTAATTCAGAGGATTTCAACAATGATGGAGGACAATACGGGACCATGGTCTACTCTGTCGATGCTTGGGCCTTACTGTTGCATTTCTCCTGGTGACGCTTCATATGCAGAGACAGGTGGTCTGAGCGAGAGAAGCAACGCTCGCAGATCTTACACTTGAAGGGTTTGGCCCCGGTGTGCTTGCGGTAGTGGCGCGTCAGTTCATCGGAGCGGGCAAACCTCCACTGGCAGCCATTCCAGGAGCAGAAGTATGGCTTCTCTCCAGTGTGGATGCGCTGGTGCGCCTTGAGATGGGAAGATTTGGTGTACACTTTGATACAGCCTGCAGTAGGAGAATATACAAAGAAACTTGATAATTCATGACATGTCCAAAGTATTTCAGAAAACACAAAAGTATCTCAGAATACACAAGTATCAGAACCTGCAATTTTTAATTTGTTTTAATTTTTGTTTTTGGTGCACAGTCTTTGAAACTGAAGCCACAACATCATATGCATCATGACTTTAAAAATCATTGATCAGAACAAGACAGCAAATTGCATGATTGAACATGTTTTACAAGCGGAACCTTTTAGAAAACACAAAAGTATTTCAGAATACACAACTTTATGAACCTTCAATTTTGTTGGGTTTTTTTGGGTGCAAGTCTTTGAAAGTGAAGCTACAACATCAATAAATCATGAGTCAAAATCAATGACTGGAACAACTCTCCATTTACATAACAGCAAAATGCATGATTGAACATGTTTTACTAGTGAAACCTTGAAATCATAGAGCTTGAAACAAATTATATTGTAAAGAAATAGGTATTTACTGTGTGAAGTAGTGTTGGTTTAATACGTGTTACGGCAGTTTCTGACTACTGATCCCCTCGGTAAACCTGGAGTGAATTTTCAACCCACATCAATTTCATATGATAACGAAACATAAACAGACCCGGGCCACGTTATTACCACCAATCATATCAAAATCCCATTATGGACTGTAATATCATGCCCCAGGCCCTCCCCGTCAATTGACCGAAAAAACAGTCTTTCCCAATAATCGGGAGGCTTTGCTGGGTATTACATGGGCCTAGAGGGTTCAGAATGGGGGACTTAGTGCAGGTGTATGGCGTTCTTAGCCTATGGGCACTCTGCTTGATAAGCGAATCTGCTCGCTCAATTTACACAGTGGAAAGGAAGTGGTTTTTTTGGCTGTATGTAGAGGGCCATTTGGCCCAGATCAGTTGGGGTAGATTTGATCCCAATGATTCACGGGAGACAAAAGGTCATTTAGATTCTTGGGGTGAATGACACCCAAAGATGTGATTCTGACCAGAAAGCAGTGCTGTTGTGTTTGATACGGAGCATAATGTGGCCTCTGCACCATGTTTTGCTAAAAAGAAAGTAATTTAGAAAGAAGTGCAGTTGTGAGAGAAGCATGAAACCGACTCAAATTGGAAAAAAACATTCAGTGTCAGATGTCAACATTGTGAAGTGATGAATCATGAAAATGCGCATGCCTGTAGATTAGCACAAAATCCCCACAGTCTCTCAAATACATCCACGCACTATTACTAATTTACTGAAAGATAATTAATTCTTAATCCTAAACCAGTATAATTAATTTGCCAGTTTAATAACCATTGCTTATAACTATTTTTAGGCATGTATATAATCTGAATCTTGTATAAGTAAATCATCACTTGACTTTGATGTAATCAATTCCAATGATTGATGTGTGGGAGATTATGCTTCCCCTCAAAGTGCGCATATTTACACTTGACACAATTGTGGCTTACAGGAATGGATATTTGCAAATGTTTCTTGTACCTTCACCCCACACTTCCGGATGCTCCACTTAAGTCAAAGATTGGTATATTTGCATTAAATAACTATGAATGGAGTATAGTTTTCTGCTATTTCTACTATATCTTTATCCTATTTCTATTTCAGAACATTGCGAACACATGGTGAGACACCTGTTCAAGAAGAGAACTTAGAAAAGGAAGAACAGAAGAAATGAAGAACTGGAAAATGAAGAACAGAACAGCCCTCTACGCATGAATCGTTCAAAATGTAAGTTTCTGACATGTTTGTCTCATTCAAAAGACTTAATCAAGAGAAAGTAGGTGACAAAAAACATTCCAGAGTGATCCTCTGACCTCTGTCTTTATGTCAGATGGTCAAACTTACAAACGAAACCGTGGGAATTTTATCCAAAGGGGAAGACTGCTCAATCACAGTCCATAGAAAGTAGGGATTTAGGAACGGTGGTTTGGGCCAGACCAGGGGCCCAGCAGGGTAGCAGGGGATGACAGCTGGGTCATCTCAGGTCACAGAGAGGACATTATTGTCTGTTACACCATGGCTGCTGGAACCTTTCAAATCTGATGGGCTCTAATCATTCAATCACAGAAGTCCACATTCTTGTATCACAACTAATTGATTGCCAGATTTATGGTGTGTTGCTCCGTTTTATTGTTCACGTCCATTCATCATAGGGGAATAAGAACACCAACATTAATAAGGCTATCTATTTCCCAAGAGATTCACCACACTGGGGGTTGCTGGTTGAGCCTGGTTCAAATCCCATTGCAGTTAAATTTCTCAGTTCATCCAAACATTTATCATAATAAATGAAACACAGTGGTAATTCAGTAAATCTGTAATAAAAAGTGAGGACTCTCAAGTGATTTCTTGAAACTGCACGATTTTCTTTGTGATTAAATTTGGATGCAAAACATTTGAATACAGTTACTCTACGGTTCATGACCCTAACCTTGTACTTGCCACAGTTTTAGGAACAAATAGTAAAACGTTTTCCTCCTACTGTTTAGTCATTCAAATTTCAAGTACATGTACATCTATAGGTACAACACATGCCCCCAGTAGTAACTGTGTCAAATCCATTAATTTTCATATGGATGAAATACTGAAGCCCAATTGTCCTTCATTAATATCTGCTTCCGGATTTCTCTGAAGAAGTTGAAGTTTAATAATTGTGGGACAAAGTCCGACAAAGCATACATTCCGATTCCTGAATAACTCTGAGACATTTTATTTTGTTTCGGGCGAACGGCAAGGCTACCAGACCTTTTCACAATTGTATGTCTCATTTTCGCCTACGCACATGGACGCTTTCACAAAACGTCTCGTGCGTCAGTTTACTGAATGGAGCCAATGAACCCATCACAAATCACGCTTTTAACAATAGAACTGTATAGAAAAATTGTGTATACAGTGTGGGGGCTCATGAAAAGATTTTTTTCCAGCAGAGGAGAATAGATTGCTAGCCTTGAATTTGATGAAGCGTAAAGCTCCAGGCACGTTCACAGCATCAGACCTGTGCCAATAGTAATGCCGACTACTCACGTGTAAGTTTTAACAGGGACCTGGTAGGAATCATCAAGTGAAGTGAAAAACTTTTCACATCAGGAAATCACACAGCAACAAATGGAACAACAGTCAATAAACAACTTGGATAACACTTGTTTGCGGGACTGCATCAAAGAAGTGGGTGAATGGAAGGTTGCATGGATGGTAACACCATTCATCATCTACTTTTTCTTTAGTTGTTTTTACTTCAATGTTTGATCATTGGTGCAGTCCACTCCATTGGTACAAGAATTTCACTCTCTACCAATCTGAGTGGTTTCAATCATGTAAACGTATTAAAGGGAAGGCACTTTTTTTGTATGTGGTCATTTTAAAAGAGAGAGGGAGAGAGGAATGCTTCCTGCCTTGCAACATGTATAATATTCTGTGAATTGTACAAAAATATCTCAGATTTTACCCTGAACATACAAACTGAAATGGTACTAAATTCAGTGTCACTGTCGGACTTTACTGAAATTTACAATATTGTAAAGATACTGCTCAAGCATGGAGTTCTATGGGATGCATGGCAACAAACGTTAACCTGGGAATGTTTTCAAGAACCCCATTTGTATGAGCAGCTGGATGCCAGAAAACTGGAGAAAAACTCAGACAGGGCATAAAAACACATCCGTTCAAGTTGAATCCTATAGCGATGGTCCTCCAGGCATACCCCTGTTTGCTGCAGTTGGCAATTCACCAAGGCCCCTTCTATTCACCTGGTGACAGTTGAGTAACTGCACAGGGACAGCTTTTGTTGCTGCATTTTGACCATGAGGTCAGCGTATAGCCTTTAAGCACCAGGCTGACCTGAGGTTAATCGTCTCTCCCCTTCTCTCGTGCTCTGTCTCACAACCAGTGCAGTCAGTGGTCTTTCTCATACTCATGTACTGGAGTTTTTCAAGTTGGCAGACTGTCTGAGTTGACATGGCCTTTGCTTGTAGGAACTACAGAGTGATTTCTTCACAAATTGCTCAGTCCTTGAAACATAACACTTTGAGAATCATATTGCTCCTGATGTTCATTTCAAAATGAAATGGGTTCTCTATAGACAAGCATTCTTGCTGGGGTTTGTTGCATTAAGTCCATGCAAAAAGAATTACATATTGTTGACATTTCTCTGTGATTGGCTTCTAAGAATATCAAAATACAGTTAGTAGATGACTTTTATTTAAAGTTTCAGTAACTTACCTGGGTAGTTGCAGTGATGAATTCTCCTCTTTTCAAGTTCCGGGTTGTTCTTTCTGTTGTACCTTTGCACATTGATAGGCTTCTTGTCCTGTTTGTTCATAACTGCAATGGTGTACGGTGGGGGAGGTGGCCGCAGCGGATGATTGGTGAACTCAAGGGGAAGATCAGCCGGCGACCCAGGCTGGGAATGAGGCGGTGTAGGGGGCATCCCAAAGACAGAGTTTGTATAAGGTTGTTGGTGGTACTGGGTCTGGGGAGCTGCTATTTGTGGGAAATCCAGCCCTGTTGGAAACGTTGGTATACAGTCAGTTGTCATGTTGGTGGGCGTGTACTGATGATGCTGTGACATCGGTTCAGACTTGATGTGCATGTTGGGGGACATGAGTTTGCAGTGTGATGGGTAAGTGTCCTGTGGTTCGGTCTTGATGGAGACCCCGTTGATGGTGATGGGAAAGTTATTGTTCATGTCCTCCATGGGTGAGGGGGGCATATTGTGGCACAAACTGTCCTGTTGCCTCATGCTACAAGCATTGGTGTTGCTGTTCATACTGCACGCAGGCATGTTCTGAAGGTAAGGCTCGGGCTTCGCACACTGGTAGTGATGTGTTTGGGGGAAGACCACGTTGAAGTTGCCACTGATGTTGAAGGAGAATCTGGGGTCGGACTCATCAAAGTAATCGTCCATGAGAGAGGCGCTCTCTCGCCTCAGCTTGTTGGCAAGGATTGTCCCTGGGCTTGCTGTCTCATCTCTCGAAAGATATCTGTCAAGCTCTCCCTTCATTTTGAAAGAGTAGAGGCAAATTGAAAAAAAAATTAAAAATGAAGTACTAGTACTACTGAGTGAGTGCTACACAACTTCAAAGTCAAATTTGTAATAAAGAAATTACAACTGCACGGTTGCACAATGATGGAAAACAATTCTGGTTGGCCAGTGACAACCCTTAGAAAATGTTAGATTCATCAAATTACTAGATGCTTAATTAAGATGAATAAATTAAATAAAATATTGCATTCCTTTCTCAGTGTATAATCCAACTTTAATGAGCGATAACTAACTCAATGTTTGACTTGATACTTAATTTAAATCTTTACCTTGCACATTTCTAATTTGCTGTAGTAAATAATCTCTGTTATTGATAATCTACTTTAATCTAACTTAATTGCTTGAAATTTCATTTTAATAGAGGCTAGAGCTCTGTTGCCGAAGTGCTATTCACCTGTTGCAACCAGTGCAGTCTATATGCAATGATTTTATTTAGTTGATTTAAATTCTAAAATTAAAAAAAAATAACAGTATTATGGAAAAAATCATAATAGCATGAAAAAATATGTTATTATATTAATCATGATCTTCGTAAAAAAAATTGTGAAATTAAAAGTACCTTCGGTTAATTGAACTCTAAATGATGTCGGTCCGATTTGAAATTATTATTTTGGAAAAGTTAAAATATTAAAGTCAAACAACTGACAATGGCTGAACAAAGATGATTCATCAAACTTCAAATGAACATGATGAACTTGATTATCAAGAGCAAGATGATGATAATACACACGGCTAGCTAGGTCTACCTACCTCTTGCCAATTCTCCATCGCGTTGGGTGCCATCAGAAAGTCCGACTCGTTCTTGACCAAGAACTCACTGAGCAGCCCATCGCTTCCGAACACCGACGATGGATCGTCATCCTGCATCAGCTCCACAGCCGCCGTGGCCATTCTCTCAACAAGACAAACTTCGGATTTCTCGCAAAACTCTGCAGCTATAGCTACGGACACTAAATTACTTCAACCTCAGCCGACCGGGCAGCTATTGTGAAATATCGGAATGTTTTGTACTGTTGGTCAAGTTTGCTTGGAGAGCCAAGTTTGATTGGTTCCCGGTCTAGTTGTGACACAAAAGCTGTCTGCCACTTAAATTCCAGTTCGGTGGTGTTTATATTCGCTTGCAAATTCTCCGCCAAATTTGTACTCTCATCACGTCCAACTTGTGCACAGACTCGCATGCGTGTGTGTACATATGCATTATTCCACGTGGGCGGACTACAATTGCCACCTGACATGTGTTGACCTCTATAACAGTTACACAGGCAACCAATCAAAGGAACGACTGGGGACATGACGTCAGAGGACAAATCTTGGTCACCGACAAACTTGGCGCGGTCTGCAAGAGAGCGAACAAAGTGAAGCGCACAACCAGACAACGTTTCCACGGCAACTGTCAATAAATAAAGAGCCCATGTAAACTGGAATTATGACTTGTCGGAGTTTGTCAAGTCATTGTTGGGTGTTTGCTTGATCAGCATGAACTGTTTTATGCCGACGAATCGATAGCTAGACACGCTGATCTCATAAGACAACAATGAGATAATCCTTCACCTGACAGGATCCCTATTATGTGGATCTAATTATAACGGTTTGTGACGTCAACGAAACCCACTCAAGTTGAGTTAATCGAGCATTTAGTTCTTTTTGTTCAGCATTTACATGTAGTATTCACCACCATCCAACGGTGACATGATCTTTTTAAAATTGTATCATTCGGAACTATTAATAGTGTATCGCTCGCGTGCATCATCACCCTGGCGGTTTTATCATACCTTACTTCCACAATTAGTGTTATTAAACATCAGGCTTTGAGGTGATGTATTGACTATTGTTCGACTGTCACCGGAAGACCAAAATATCGGTGTTGACATTGAAATTGTAAGCCCACTTCAGATACACTCACTCGATGTGTAGATTTTCCTCATGTCCCTTCCAAGGTGCAGTGTAAGATGACTCGATAAGGACGCAATCAAATCCAAAAGACCGTCTTTTCTTTTATATTAACAAGACAAGGCAACTAGGCGAGACTATAAAGGTGACTCGGGGAGTTAATGAGTCAGTCAGTGAGATATAGATATCAAGCAAGAGGACACTAGGCTGGTCCTCTTGGACTGATGCGTTGCATCAGTAACTTTCCCTCTCCCTCGGCGAGACACCTATCATAACATTTGGCCCTCCCAACACCCCTTCCCCCTCTCGGAAATGGACTAATGTCTCCCCCCCCCCCCCCCGTTTTTTTTCCGGCGAAAACATACTAGGAATCGTCACACCGAGTGCTGGTGGGAGTATAATGGTTTCATGATTTTATGTAGCAAAAAGTTTGTTGGATGGATGTAAAGCAGTCCTCCTTGGTATCCGTAGGGATATATGAATAACACTGTACTCATAATAGAAAAGAGATTGATATACTTCTCCTATGATCTGTTACTATGCGTGGCTCCTGAAACCGGAAATGCCCGCACGTATAGGCCATTAGCCATTGAAATAAATTTCACCATTGTGGTCCGTACAATCGAAGAAAAAAAATCATTTAGGCCTATTTGTTCAAAATTCGTGAGAATTTGCTTTTGATTCCAGTGTTGGATTTAAATGTCGCCGGATATGTGGCCATAAAATTGAATCCCTGTTTCATGTTGCAATTTATTGTGTGCCTTTGTGTGCTCAAGGATGTGGTGTATATTTCACGCTCTCAAAAGGCTCCGTATAACAAATTGTTCGGGGTTTTCTTAAAATTCAGGTTCAGAGAGTAATTCCGACTTTTCAACAGGGTACAAATATACAATTGTCGAGTGGAGGTTGTACCCTTTTGTTTTCGACCTTGTATTGCGAAAAAAATGGACTACTGTTGTTACACTAAGTTATACAGTCCTCAGGCTGTTGCGGTTTTACGTTGAACTTGCAGTGTTATTCTAATGTCGGAATGGACCATTTCGTGATTGCAGAACTTGAGGACTTTCAACTTAAACGCGTCACCGTTTATGGAAAAATATGTAGCTTGGCATAGTTATGAAGGAGGTGAGCAGAAAAGCACGTATTAGGTATTGGCGGAAAAAAACTTTATGTACGAAAAATCAATCTAATATGACTCTTCTTATTCAGCCTAGAAGTCAAAGAAGAACTAAGATCCGTAAAATGTAGGCTTTGAGTGGTGAACAGTTTCCAAAAAAAAAGGATTTAAGAAGACTTACGGCAGTAATAATTGCCAGAAAGAAATATCGGCTTTTGTTAACAATTGTGTATAGCAGCTTATAACGGAGTTTTTGAAACCTCATTGCTTCCTCACCGGCTTCGGCTAGAGGAGATTTAAGGCACCTGACTTGATGAACTCCGGCTCAGTATGGGTTCATGTTCTGATTAACCATTTCAAACTGAATTAGGCACATGAAATCTTATCATTGGAGTCCAAAGTTTGGATTATGTTGATATATTGAATTGATTTATAAAGACTTATAGATAGTTCTATAGCAACAGAAGCAGCCGATGTCACAGACTAAGCAAATGTTTTTGAAAAGCAATAGGCCTAGTTCAGCACATTAGAATATCAAATTTGCAAGAAGCCTTCATTATAGTTACGTTTATCTCCCAGTACAGTGTATCGCTTAATTGTGTTGTGGTCTCACTTCTCCAAATATGCATGTTTTTGTTTGTTTTGTCTTGTTTGTTGGATTGTCGCATATTAATCCATCGCATTATCTTAGATTACTTAGTTTGAATAAAAGAATATCCCATGGTCTTGGAAAAATAAGTACAGAATGTTCGGAGCAGAGGTAACGTTCCCATGCCCGTCCCTGTCTCCTCCCTAATCCTGCACCTAGTGATTCACGCCTTGCCTTCTGGGATACACGTCACTTGGATTCAGTTAACATTACCCTCCTCATATCAAAACAAGAAGAGGCACAACCACCACCCAGCGTGATCACAACGGATAAGACATCATTTTATAAACACCGAAAGTTATGGTGCAGAACGGTAAAACGTGACAAAGCAATTACCTAAACGAGTACTATGGGTGTCCAAACATTAAATGCACAAACTGTTGGTATTATATCGTACACAACTCAAAAGGAAGAGTTATTGTCTAATGCGATGGAACGACAGGTAACTTTCATTCATCCAATGATAGTCGGAAGGAAGACTATGACCTCATGCGCGCCACCGGATGGAAGTTCAAGTTCCATCCACTTGTGTGTTGAACATTTCTTCTGATCTTTTGTTTTAATAGTTTTGCTTTAATAGTTTTTGCATTGTGAGATTTCTAACCGCTTCTTCCACTTCAATATAGGGTACTCGTTCTTAAACACTATTATTATAATGATGTGGCGATCCAGATTTTTAGATGGGGCAAAATTTCAACTAACTTCGAACATTTTGTTTGAGAGTGACACCCACCGCAGCCAGTTTAATGCCACACACATTTTCGTCTGGTTAACGAAGTTTAGATTAGAAAAGAATCCTTCCGAGCCTGAAAGTATTTTCCCCATAATTTCAAATAGTCATGTTGCAATTTGCATGCTTTTTTCTTCGGAAGTTCAAATGTTCAAAATGGCTACACACGATTCTAGCGTAGGCGGTAACTTGGAGCTTTTCACCATGACGGCTCGTGCTAGTGTCGAGCAAGCAAAACTGGAGCAAACTTCCCAAGTTGTACAAACATTGTGATCCGAATTCTTGGATTTCGCAGGTGCACATCCTCGCTCCTATTTGTTCGATCGTTCATGCAGGAAACAAACAGATGAGATCTAGGGATAGGGAAAAAAAGTGGTTTGAGCGTGGGTGGAGATTTTGAAAGGTAATACTAGGTGAGACATCATCCAGACAGAACAACCTCCCTGCGTTGAGTGGACTGGAACCACGTTACATTCATGGCATGTTATGGTGAATTTCGGTCTTGATTTCTTGAAGCCTTGATACTCTGAGAGCATCATTCTTTCAAATACCTTCATATCATTTGAAATAAACCTTTTTTTATCATTGACAAAGAAACTTTCCCCATTCTCTTTTAGTCAGTGATATGAAAATAGGGAGTACGTCTTAAGTATCATTAATTAAAAATGAAGTCACACGCGGTGCAACCACTGAGTTCAAAAGAAACAAGGAAATGCATTCCTTTTCATCATCATAAAAGACTTTTGTTTGAGTCAGGTAATAAAGGGAAGAAAGGTAAGAAAGAAGATAGTTTACTCATTGAATCGGTAAGGCTGATCTAAAACCAAACAGCCCATTTGGGTCCTCATTTATAATACCCAAATCTAGATGGTTCAGCAGTTACATAATGTTCAATTTAAGCATAAGCAACTAGCATCTTCCTTCGTTTGAATAATACGGAAAGTGCCAAAAGTACATGTCTGAAAGCGTGCAACCAAAATCGATATTTTACTATATATGTGCCAAGTCATTTCAGCATGTGATTTTAGTCATAGCCGAAAATTCTTCAACACGCCTAGCCCCCAGCATGTTTGGGTTCGTGGTGGGTATAATGTTTGGGTTTGGGCATGGAGGAAATTGGGAAGTTGCGTCCTTTCCAGGGTAGGGACTGCATAATGAATCCTCACTCGGTTGAGCTTTAACTGCACCTTATTAGGCTGGCAATACGTAAACATTGACGTGGTAAACAACAACATGGTGTCCTTTTTTGGGGGGGGGGGGTGTAACACTTAAAACTCATATGACCAAGATCCTGGCAACTAAATTCAGCAAAGGTCTTTCGGCAAAGTTTTCCAGGTCAGACAAAAACTTTGTGATTAACAATAACAAAGCATGTTGTTGCAGCGCCAAGGTCTTTGTTGGGGGATCAAATTGGTTTGCAAGTCATCAAGTTGTGCAACTAATTTGCGAAAGTTGATTTATATGACTTCCTTCGGGGTTCTTCTTTGGTCATCTTGCAGTCAAATGCTTATATAATATAACTTACTTCTTCCACTTTACCCCAGCAAAAAATACAGTGACTTCAAACTCATTGGTAAGGGTATGTAATGAACCTTCGACCCCAGAAAGAGCGTGATAGAGTTCCGTAATCTACACGGATCTACCATAAAGAGCAGTCTCAGTCTATTTGCCGAGTCTGATTGCCAAATAATAACATTCTTTTGTCGATAGAACCGAAAAGGTCAGCAGTCGGTGGCAATTGGAGGAGTTTGTCTTGACAGATAAGCCGGGTCCCTCGTATTTACTCGCCACTCGTTCGTTAGAAACCAGCAAAGCCGTTGCCGCGCAGCCAGCTAGTTCTGGAATTCGGATCTTTAATGT